CTGAGTGAGGCCTTCTCCTTTTCATTGAAAAATCTCATCTGAGGATGATCAAAATACATTTGTGTAAAAACTAGTGACAGAAACAAAGTGTTTTGAGAGCTAGAAACTAGTTAGTTTAGTTGATTTATTTATTTAAGATGACAGGGACAGTGTGCAATAAACAATTACCTCAAAGGGAAAGATGCATTGTACCAGGTTATGGCTCAAGAGCTCATTTCTACCCGTAGTCCCTAGGCAGTTCTAAAACTTCCGCTTCAACATTTTGAGCAGAAAAGGCCAAATATGATGTGTACATGTGGACCTTGTGTCTGGGGCAATGGTCTTCTGGTTTCTCTTCTCACCTCTTTTTAAAAAAACAATACAAAATGTGTTTAATTAAAGATGAACTTACACAAAGCGATTCATAAATAAATTTCTTTCCCATGAGTGTGTTTTTGCTGCTGTACGGTGTCTCAGCCTGTGCTACATGTTATTTACTCCTGGAAAGCAGTTGCGAGCTGCTGTAACCTTGTGTGCTTTGAGATCTACAGAGAAGTAAATGCTTCCACTATGAGTCACACGCGCCTCCTCCTCCAACAGACCAGCAGTTGTGCAATGCTTTTCCTTTGTGGCGAGAACATTGTGCACTATTTATGTTTAGTGTGGTCATTCAAAAACAGATAAAACCAAATCCTTCCACACTTGTATCTGTGTGTTGTCTCCTGACCCTGACTAATAGCAGACAACATAAACAGCATATGCAGCCTTATTATGGCTAAAGCGTCACATCATCACTTTCCTGTTTTTGTGATGAGCAAAATGAATAATACCCCTGCAAATTAAAAAAGTTACACAATAAACATACAAGTGAAACTCTGAGCATTAGAGCGCCATTCAAAAGTACATTTATTTATGTAATTCTTAAAACTTAATACTGTATGTGAAACCAATGTATGATATAGACTCAATATTCAAACTGTATGTTTTGTTGGTTTTATTTGAGGTTTTTACAAGCAGTGACCCAAACATTGACATTACAATAAATAAAGGCTTGATATATCTCACTTTGCTTTTACCAATTTAGCCTTAGCCATTGATAAACTATTATAGTACTAAATGAAATGTGTACAATGGTGTGGTACAAACCAGGCTATTACCAAGTCTGTCATTAGATTGACATTTTAGGTTATATTTCAAAATTAAATTGACTTTTGTATTTGTTTTTTGGATGGGACAGTGTGTTTTAAGGAACAGCAGCGGCTGTAAATACACCAGATTGTAGCTTTGTAGCCAATTTCCATTTGCACAATATATTTTTTAACAATAGTCTAATTTTCTGAGTTTCACCTGTATAAAATAGATCAGACAACAATACAATAGACAAACAAGAATGAAACACATTAAAAACCCTTCTCTGTGCATTGCATAGATTACTTCCTATTGTTTAATGTTTGTTGCAAGAACAAAGTGTCCATTCTGAAGATTGCATGTGTCAGACACGGTTGGAAGACATTTTGGAGCAAAGAAGTCACACATAAAAGCAAATTGTTTTGACCTTTATTAAACATAGCTTGCAAGAGATAAATATTACAAAGTTATTTCCTCCAAAATTAGCTTATTTTTTTTTTTTTCAATCAATGCATAATTGGCAAACAACTGGCAGTATTCAAACGGCATTATTTTCTTTTACTATTTTTGAGACTGTTAAATATCAACTATGTGCAAAAGGTCAGGATTGATGTAAAGCAATGACTTCAAATAGTCAACTTTTCAAAGTGGTTTCCTCTGCAATGTTTGTTTGAATATTATAATCAGACAAACCAAATAAATGAATAAAAACAACTGAAATGGCTGACGACTGATTTGGAGGGTCACATGACACATCCCATTTAAGTTGAAAAACAGTTGAATCCAATCACTATTTAATTTGTCCATTTGACTGGGCCACATCCCCTTCCTCTCCTCAAAACCATGTAACAACACGTTTTCCTACGAATATGTGGCCACAAAAAACACTTTTGCAAGAGTTCCTGTAAAGTTCATCTGAGAATGTACAATTCTGCAACCTTGTCAAAAAAGAAAATGCATTCTCGAAAATTGCTTTTAAAAGCTGAAGGAAAAAGAATCCCAAACATTTTGCACATATGTTACACAATATTACACAGTGATCACAAAACGAAATGACAAGATTCACAATATTCATGGCTTTTTGTTTGCTTTTCTACACAATATACAACAATTTTATTTCTTTTTTTTAGTACAAGGGAGGAAAAATGTTTATGTACAATAAGTCCTTATTACTTCAAACCTAGCAAATATCATGTCATTTATTTCATACTCAATAAATTTGTTTCTTTTAAACTGCAATGAAAATAAAACAAATCATTCAATACACATGAAAAACGCTTGAAACCTTAAGTTTAGATTTGATCACATTTGCAATAAAAAGCTTGTAAATGCATCTACAGAGAAAAGCAGGAACACTGAGTTTTAATTCAGCCTGCAGCTGAATGAGATGCATAAAAATTGCATTCGCAAAACCAAATAAGAGTGCCATTACAATTTACAATAAACAAATCCTGTTCGTGGAATCTGATTCCAATAAGTATTTCAGTATTTTTCTTGGCCTAGGATAAAAAGGTGTAAACTAGAGTTTACGTCTGATTCAAGAATCAGGTGGGGCTTTCAAAGGGTCTGGGCTTTCCTCATCCTGACAGACTGGTGCCTTCTTACTACAGAACAAAAACACAGGTGTAGAGCCAAGGCCCAGGTTTTACAGTCTCAGTAACACTGTCATAAAACATTATGTTGTCAATAGAGCAGAAATACTGAAGGACCTGAATAGTGAGACAGCCGATCCAGTCAGCAGAATGTATAATCTCAAACACTTCTTGTACATTATTATTCTGATGGCATCAACTTTAATGCCACAATAAAAACAAACCGTCTAAGCAAACCCTAAGGGTAAAGGTAGAATGCCAGACAGACAGACAGACTGCTCTCATGTAAATCAAAATAAACAATACATTCTTGTTTGTGCTAGAGCACAGTAAATGAACTGCAGTAACAGAATAGCCAGTATTAGTTTAGGCTGAACAGCACCATAGTCTTCAGTCCGTCAGATTGACTGCGCTTGGCTACAACAAATGTGTTTGGGAGGCAATAAAACATTTAAGTGTATTTAGGGTAGGTTCAAAAAAGAAGAAACAAGCTTTCTGTCCTTCACTTTTCACTTCACAGTCCCACCAGTCCTGAAAAATACTGGACTCTCACACACACTAGTGGTGATAAAGGGGAACTGCACTTACGATGCCAGGCTGTGGATCAACTCACTAGTACTTTCAGAAGAGATAATTAAGCATTTGAATACAACAGTATGCTCAAAGTGCTATATGTTTAAATAATGTGTACTTTTCATTGCCCTTTTTCCCCACAATGCATTTTGAATATTGTATGGACTGCATGTGTAGAGCAGTGGTTGTTGATGTGCAGAGTAGATGCTGAATTGTCAGTCAATTTTCGGTACCTTTATCTAAGGGTCAAAAGCTGACAAGTGGCAGGGCCCATGCATGAGGAAAAGGTGTTCTAGTTATTGCTGTGGTCAGGACTCTGGGACTGTAGTGAATGTGTACAGTTACTGGGACCTTGGATAAACCAACACAAGAGCCTACATCTGCAGACAATAAAAAAGAAAGTCATTCATCCTCTGTACAACGCACAATCCACTCTGCACCCAGACCTTTATTGGACTTCATTGTAACATTCTTTACTTTAAAAAAAGTTTCCAATTGGAAATATGAAAAGTGCTCCTCTGGAGTGAGGCGATTTGTGTGCATAAATATACACACAATGATTGATCCATGTCTCTTTCACAAAAGATCTATGTCTGTACATATCCTTACAGATTTCAATAGTTTCTGTCCTCAGCTGTTGATTACCGTCTCCAGGGGCTTTTTCCTTTCAGGTTTGCCCCGATTCGAGGGGAGACGCCGCCAAAAAGTAAAACAATTTTTGAAAAAAAGAAAAGGAGACAAGGGCAAAAAAGACAATCTAGAAATCTATATAACATGAAGCCCAGAAACTAAGGCTTTAAGTACATAATGTCTGGTTTGATTGAAGTCCTGTAAAGAGCATATGCCATGGGGAGCTGCTGGGATCAAAGGGCCAGTCCGTGCATACTGGGCAAACTGGACAAGCGAAGGTGCATGAAGAGAAAAGAAGAGCCTGGAGGAGAAAGTCTCAGTGACACCATCGCTCACGTTTAGAGAAAGAATGAGCGGACTCCTACCCTCACCACTGACCACTAACACCGATGTGCAGGCCGTTTAAACAGAATTATGCAAATGGTTAACAGAAAATGGACAAAAAAAGACACGCCTTCCAAAACTCACAGACCACCCAGGAGTCGTGTTCGTGTCGATGGTATCTCAATGAAACCCAACTTCTGAAAAAACTAGTTTGGAAAAAATGTTGAATCTTTTTTCTCGATTTCTTCAAAATCATGCTAACAAATACTCATTTTCTTCTCACAATGTCCATTTCAAATTCATGAGAAGAAATACTGTGGTCAAAAAGTTCAGATTGTTAGATGTTGCATAGCAACCAGAATGCACCCTGTTGGTCTTGTTTTTAACAACACTCACAATGAAGTTACATGAGCCGAAAATACGTCCTATGATGAAGGTCTCAGCAGACCCACATGAATTACCATCACTTCAAACAATTGATGGAACAGCAAATAAAATGAGAAAAGCATAATGAATACAATAGTAACTGAGGAAAAATAAGAAGTACAATAATAGTGCTACTAAGAATTATATAAATGGGAGTCAGAAATATAATATGAAAAAATATTTTTAACAATGATAAAGAACTTTGAAATGCCTGGACAATTAAGTGACTTTGTCTGAGCAGGAACTTTGTGTGGTTTAGGTAGGCACACGACAGGCACTGCATGCGTCGGGAGGTTGGGGTTTGGCTGATTGGGAGTGCTTTAGTGTGGCTCAGAGGACAAATGGGGCTCATTTCTGTCCAGTTATGGACTGAGATATGGAGCGTGGTGGGATCATGTCCAACAGGTACTCTCTCTGTCGATCTGCTAGGCTGGAACTCTTATGGGCGCCGACGGCCGCTGGATTCAGATACGCAATATTTAATCCTGCGGATTACACACACGTCAGGACATGCAGCAGATTATGTTAATAGGACCAAGTCTCTGAGGAGGTTACCTGGGATGTTGTATATCTGACGATGGCTGTCATGTTGAAGTCTGTTGCTGCTACTGCTCCCACTGCCACAATGCTTTCCACTAGTCATACCCATGAGGCTGCTGGCCACAGACAGCTGAGAGGCCTGGGCGAAATTAGACAGTACGCCCCGTGCAGAGTTTGATAGACCTCGCTGAAGGGATGCCTGGGATTGAGGCTGGGATGCCTGAACAATGTACAATGTACTTAACCATCTTTGCAAAAATATTCAAATTCAATAATATTGCGTTTTTTTCACATAAGGTACAGGTATTGTATCGGTACCTGGCGGAGTGCATGGTGTCGGAGCATCGAGTCCGTCTTTGAAGAGTTGGAGCCTGTTGAGGAGGAGCTGGGGGAGAGTGTGGCCTGCTGCTGCAGTCTCTGCTCAATCTCCTGAAAGAGAAACAAACACATGTTGTGAAACCATCATTCATCTCTGATCTCCAGACTTGCACAAACTTAAGTTTGTTCACTTTAATTCACACTAACTTCCCTGCTCTTTCACATTACATATACATGTTTTTATTGACTCTGATGTGAATAATAATGGTAATCAAATATTAAAGCTGTGGTACCAATGCTTTTTGTTTAATAAAATGTCCCGACAGACAGTCTTGTAGAAGTAAAAATGTGAACAAATCAGAAAACAACACAACTTTGTCCAATTTATAAAAAAATAAAAAAAATATCCTATGCTTACAGGTAAGAAAGAGCCAGTCACCGTTTGGCGCTTTGGGCCTAGAGGGACTTGGCTGAATGAGGGTGGGTCTCTATTTTTCACTGTTCTGACTGAAAAAGCGGATCTAAATATATGACGGAGGCCATGCATGTGAAAACTAGTGATGGAAGTGTCTGGAGAATGATGAACAAGTAAGATTGATTATATAACATACATTAGTTTTATTGTTTGTGGTCTGAAAATTAAGCACTTTAGCTTAAAAAACAAAACAAAACATAATTTACCTGCTCTTGCTGCAGAGCTTTCACAAAGGCATTCTTCAGTCGATTGGTGTGTTCAGCCTTCAAAGCCTTCTTCTGATTGGATGTCATGCATTGTTCACACAGTATACGTCCACTTTTTTCCCTCTTCCAGTGGGGTGTGAAGTCAGTTCTGCACTGGGCGCAGAAGAAAGGCTCTAGGCGGGACAACGACCCCCTATATTTTCCTAGATACATCATAAAACGAACGGTTGGTAAATCCCATACATTATGGTTTTCATGTTGATATTCTGATAACGACTACTTACCCTGACTATCAAGGACACTCTGCACCACTTCTTCCAGTCCCACCATGTAAATAAACTCACTGTTGGCAGCAGAGGGCAGGAAGTGCAACAGTGGGGCTGGGGGTTTAGGAGGAGGTATCTCCAGAAGTGTTTTCTCAAGCTGTTTTCTCAGAGCCAGTTTAGCTGCTGCTTGGCTGCTGGCCTGGTCAGTTATGGCGCCCACTCCGGTGGACGGACTAACAGCTGAGGCTCCACCCAGACCGCCTGCGCCGGCTGCAGCAGCCGCCTGCATGTGGGCCAGGTTCATGTAGATGGCACTGGAGCTGGAGTGCTGAGATGACACCTGTTGACCGGCCTGCCACAAAGAGCAGAACAATGAAGGAGCAGTCACAACAGCCCCGAGGACTTCATACCAACGCCAACAGTTGGACGCATGTTTTTGTCTAGGTGCTGACAACTAGAACCCTGCACGGGCCTATTATCTGGGCCCGAGCCCGGCCTTGGCCCGAGGGGGTAGCGCCCCAGCCGGCCCGGCCCGATATGGTTTCTGAATTTTCAGGCCCAAAAGTCAAGCCCGACTTTTTTTTTATACCTCCCATAACAATGTTATGTTTATAGTGCCGCGCACTGATATGAACACAGGCTTGGCTAGAGGGCGGAGTTACACATGGTAGTGATGTGTTGCAGTGAGTTCTGTGTGTGCGGAGTGAACGGCCGCAGCTGTATGATACACAGCTGTATGATACACAGATGCAGCAACACACTTGTAAGTAACGCTATGTGTCGTCAATGACAACACTACACAAAACAACAAACACTACAGCGTGATAGAACGCTATATTCAGTGGGTGCGTGCGTAAATGTAATCTGCCGCTCTGAAAGAGCGCGAGCCCGAGCCCGGCCCGTGTCCGAGGTCATTATAGGGTCATCGGCCCGAAGCCCGGCCCTCGGGCTGTCGGGGCCCTCGGGCCTAGGGCTCAAGTGCAGGGCTCTACTGACAAAACACTGGTTTTCAACATGTTTTTAGTCATTGTTAATGAAAAACTTCCCTTTTGAAATGATTCCATACTATTCATAAACATTGTGTACATGAGCTGCAAATAATGTCACAACATGCAGTTTGGAATTTGCAACACGGTTTTCCCGAGTTATTAGCACACTAGTTTAAAATGATGGTTATTCCATTTATTATCACCATTTTAGGTTAATTTGTGATAATAAATGAACTTCTCTCAATTCATTTTGCCGACATCTTATCACTGCACACCACTAAGATATGGCCAATCTACAGTAAGTTCATTGGTATTTGGATAAAATCACAACCGTGATTTGTGAGCGGCACGGCAGTGCAGTGGTTAGCATTTGTGCTTCACAGTGAGAAGGTCCAGGGTTCGAAGCTACCTCCAGGACCTTTCTGTGTGGAGTGTGCACGTTTGGTGGTTGATCACATAACGCATTGACAGCTGTTGATGTAACTATCATTTTAAATAAGGGAAAGAGGAAAATGTGCAAACCATTATACACTGCTTTTATTTATATCTTTTGCATCTACAGTTATTGTGCATTTACTCTTCTGCATTGGGGGGCATTACTCCTTATAAAGAATATGGGTTTAGATGTACAAGATATGAGTTCAGTGACTGATTTACAGATTTTCTTTTAATGTTTTGAGTTCAAAGAGTAACATTTATTACTGTATTCCTTAGAAAATAAAATCCAAGATTAACTGTACATGCCCTATTAGCACAGTTGCAAGCACAGAATATATTGCAGTATTGATATTTTTGCATCCTCTTTTAGGCTGTCAGTTACTTCAAAGGACTTGCAACAAAGTATAATAAAGTGATACATTTCACGTAGTCTTTTCCAATTCTATTGGGTGATGAGCGAGAGGGTCAAGAACCATATGTGTGATATATATTCAAAGACTCAAACCTGGTAGCCCACAGCGTTGGCCATGCTGCCGGATCGGCCCATGCCGGGCTTGAGGCCTCTCTGTCCATGTAACTGTGCAGGATTAGGTGCAATCACTCGCTGAGACATCAGCATTGGAGGCAAGCTGGCATTGGCCGCTGACCTGATGACTGTGTGGCCCTGGAGACAACAACAAATGAACAAAACATCAACAATAAAACAGGAGGAAGAAACAATAGCATATATATGTGTATATAAATAAGTATCTATTCTTTTTCAAATGTATGCATGTGTTTGTGTTTGTATGGACAAACACAGAATACTTTAGTCATTTTCCAGACACGTGACATTTTGTGGACACCAGGGGGCAGCACAAGTACAGTTAAGCTCTGCTTTAGCCAATAAGACGATCCACTACACAAAGACCTCTCTATACACAAACACAAAGATGTGCTGAATATTTAATCCTGCTCATCATGAAATGGAGGAGTGAGGCATTGCCATGCATGAAGAACGACTCGCAGCAGAAGGAATATCATAATGACGACTCTCCACCAGAGCATCTTACACTAGCTGCGTTCCAGAACAAGACTGTCTGCATTTGTGTTAGCCCACAAACAAAGGGTACATTCCTTTATCACCCTGATCCACAGTCAAAGTAAATCTGAAATACTCTTACATTTAATATTACTAAGATTATCTGCAGGCCTGTAACTACTGATTATTCAAACAATTTAGCGATTATCCTTTTCTTTTTTTAAGTGAAATGTTGTTTAGAACAAATATGAGATAGTATCTATATTATTCAGAAAGCTGAAGTGAAGCCACAAAATATTGCATTTCACTTAAAAAAGAAAATATCTAAAATGTAGGTTTCCTGTATTATTTCAATGCAAAACTGTCTGAATATTATCTAGTAATTGATAGAAGATCTTATCACAGCCATCACGCTGTATTGAGACGTAAACTGAGACTCACACATCTCAAGTAAAAAAACAAAATGCACAATGCACACTAAACATTTTAAAATGCATTTGCATACAAAACAAATTATGGATATTCTGGCTGACAGGAGGTAGATGCCGGACACTGACCTGAGCTGTGCGCAGGTTCTGGGCCTCAGGGTTGTGCATGCCGGGTCGAGCCGGCAGCTTGAGTCCTGAAGAGTTGTGCAAAGGTGGAGGCTGCGCTGACGCAGCATTCTGGACCACTGGCACCTGTGGACAAAACTCATTATTTAGATATAAATAGCCAATGAGAACTATCAATCTACAGTATTTTGCCTATCTAAAGCTATATAATAAATAGCCGGAGGCAAGTTGAAGTTTAGCAAATTGAAGTTATGTATTACCAGAATTTCCTTTGGGATAAAAGTATCATTCCATGTGGTTGGGCCACAGATAACTCAAATAAGGAGCCATTCCTTATAAAGGCCAATGCTTATCCTTTTACGATAAATAATCGACCAGACTGAAATATCTTCCCATGCTGAGACTGCTCAGTTATATTGGACGGGGACAGAGCTGGTACTTTGAGCCATTCTCACCTTCTGCACCATGTTCTCCTTCTGCATCTGACTTTGGCGGAGTTTCTTGAGCAGCACCAGACGAGCCTCCTCCAGACGCAGCTCCTCTCTCAGGGCTTTGATCATCTGCTGCCGCTCCTCTTCAGTTTTACCCTGAAGCACAAAAACAGTGACATTTTCTACCTCATTACTGGCAAAGCAAGGGCATCCATGACCAACTAATAAAAATATGTCATTTATTCAGGCATGAGGAGTAGAGGTAAGATTCCTTTCATGCACCTGAAGATTGAATGCATTGAAGATCTAAATTCAAGTTGGGAATGGCTCTGGATACCATTTCATGGACTGAACAAAACACAACTATTTAGTACTCATTTGTACTCACCATAATAATATAATATTAATATTGCACTTTCACTTTTAATCTATACTTTTATATAGTGATTAAAAGGTTAAACACATCTAAATGAACTAAACAAGTTTTACATTTGTTTGATTTTATTCGTCTGTTGAAGCAGCACCATCTATCCCGGCACATAGCACACGATAATCATAGGTTCCTGGATTCAGGGAACTGGTAACATAACAATTTATCGCAACTAATTGATCAATTTCAACATAGTTTTTCACAACTTCAATAATTGTGTGCTACATATACAGTGGATACCAGAAATTTACATAATGCAAAAACGTAAACTTCAGATTTTCCATCGCTCGATGCCACAACACAGAGAGAAGTCATTCTTCTGAATCACACATTACTTTCTATAAAGTTAGAATGCATGTAAAAAGTATCTAAACTTCCACTTCCACAGTACATAATATACACATAATAAGGACACTTCACATGTCATCATTCATTCACTCCAAACACAGTGGTGATAAACTACTACTGTAGCCACAGCTGCCCTGGGGCACACTGACAGAGCAAGAAAACCAGTATGTGCCATCGGCCCCTACGATCATCACCAACCATTCACAAATACACCAAATTCAATTTAGGCAATGAGGTTGAGGTGTCTTGCCTAAGGACACAACTACAGTTTGGCACCTTACAGTCAGTCGCCCCACTGTGGCACTGGTATTCCCAGAGGTCTACCATCATAGTACTAACCAGACCCTTGCCCTGCACAGCTAAAGAAGTCTAATAGGATTTGGCTTTCTCATGCCATAAACAAGTTTTGAAATATCTAGGATGTCTTCAAATATAAATACATTAAAATATGTGTTCTAAACTAATGGTTGTTTATAATTACATTAAAAACAGCATTTAACAAGTTGAATCTAATAATCTCATGCATTGAAGTGCATAGTACACTCTTTATCAAGTTTTGAGTCAGATTATGTGATTTTTAAGCATAGATAATGTATAATGTATGTAATGAATGAGGTTGAAGTGGTGTTTGGGAAAAAAAGTAGCCGAATCTATAATACTGATCAAATCTAGTGAGTGGTGTGAGCAGATGTGCAATAGAGGCTGCACTGTCCGTCAGGCTCAGGTTGGTTTGTTCAGTCCCAACCAAAACCAGACGCAGGCCGAAGAAAAGTGTGCCTTTGCCTTAAAAATGTAGTGGTTACTGGGACAGACACAGGGGCAGATACAGGGGCAGCCATGGGGCAGACAAGGGGGCAGACAAGGGGGCAGACACGGGGGCAGACATGGGGGTAGAGCTATACCTTAAACATCTCGAGGTTGGCACGGTGCATCTTGTCTTCAGGCCGAGGGGTGGCTCTGGGGCTGGATGCTTCATTGTCAGACAAAATAATGACGTCTGGTGACGGAGTTCTTCTGACATGATCAGAATCACTGTGGGCAGAGAAGATTTCAGCTGTGAGTGAAGCAGTCAAGCTCTGCTCTCATCTGAATTTTGACACCAGGACCCCCCATTTGAAGTTGATATTACTGAACAATATAGTGAAACTGCAGAAGAAGGGAGCACACTTTAAAAAATTACTCAAAATTACTTTTGGAAAGCCGATTGGACCAGACCCCACTCTAGGGGCGGCACGGTGGCTGAGTGGATACCACTCTCGCCTCTCAGCAAGAAGGTCCTGGGTTCGAATCCCGGTCGGACCAGGACCTTTCTGAGTGGAGTTTGCATGTTCTCCCCGTGTCTGCGTAGGTTTCCTCCGGGTACTCCGGTTTCCCCTACCACTAAAAATATGTACAATAGGTCTGTTCGGCGACCCCGCTCCCATCTCTGTGTGGAGTGAGAGCACAAGTGCCCAAAAAATAACAATTGTAAACCGCTTTGTGACTCTGGTCTGTGAAAGGCGGTATATAAATAAAGATTACTTACTTACTACTTACTAGGAGGACGACATCAGGAGTACCAAGCTCAAGAAGTAACCTACCAGTCCTGATTTAAGTTGATGGAAACCATAGTGCCCATTGGAAAGGTGCAAATGTGAAGATAACTATAGAGGCACTCACCCTCGTCTGCCAGCACTCATATCCACCGGCTCATCCAGCATATTCTCTTTCCCATTCTTGGTCTGTGCAGCATGACTGCTGTGTCCCCCAAGCCGCAGGCTCCCATTTATCTTCTCCTCATAAGAGCCAGTACCCATGGTGCTTTGGTGGTGCAAGGTGCTTGCTCCAGGGCCCTTCCCGTCTCCGAGGGGTCCCACCACATCCAGACCTGCTAGATCAGCAAGGTCCTTGCGCTTCAGCAGCGCCAGCATCTTGAGGCGCTCCATGGCCTCATGGCCCTCCATCTTCAGTCGCTTGGCTAGGGCCTCATCGCGCTCACTGGCGTCTAAACCCCTCTTCAGCAGGTTGAGCCTGAGTGCCTCCTCAGACATCCGCTCCATCCTAGAAACACATAATCATCATACAGTTACACTTAAAGCTGGGGTGCCTAAGTTTGTCTCCCAGCCCAAAATTTCACATTTTGCCCGGAAACAGAAATAACTTAAATGTGAACATCTCACCAAAACATGCTCTCTTTATCCAACTAGAAAACTGTTAACTCATGTTATCTGTTGAAGACTTTTAGGAGCCCAGTGAGTAACTATTTGAGACTTTGGGCCAAGAACTGAAAGGCTTAGTAATAGTCCTCTCTTCTTCACTTTTATGCCTAAAAAAGCGGATCTAAAAGATATGACATTCTAAATGAATGTAATAAGCAACATCAGAGATGACTCACATCCCATATGAACAGTTCATTCAAGACACATCAAGACAGAATATTCTACTTTTATAAAACATTCTACAGCCATCCTGCTAACATAAATGTGAGGCTCTAACCGCCCATAATCTTAAAAGTGCTTTTCTAGGAAAAAGACAAGAGAAAGTACTAAAACAGGGCCCTTTTCAGACCAGGGTTAAACCAGCTCTATTCTATGCACCTGGGTCCCAACACTGGCCCTGATCAACAATGAACAAAATACAGATAGTCGGATACAGTAATAAGACATGGTTTTACAATAAAGTGCGCAATCTGGCAATACATGCTGGTCTTGGACTGGTTTATAGTTGCAAAACATTATATAAAACTATCATACTTGATAAGGGAGTGATGTTTAAAGATGTCCCACACTCTTGTCAACTAATTTACTTTAATAAGCCACAGCAAATGCGGAAAGTCACAGCGTTTGTATTCACAGTAGTATATCAAGCACATCTAATTGTCCCTTTTGTTACTTAATCGGCTTCCTAATTATTCATCCCAAATCTGATAGTATCATTTCCGCTGGTGTATTGTGGAAGGATGCAGGGGCCAATGTCTCCGTTATCCCGTTCATATCTCTGGCAGACTCTTTAGCGCAAGGAGGAGTCTTAATGATGGCATACAACAGCCCTCCCTGACACTACTTCTTCACTAATTCATTTGTGACGCAGCAGGGAGCAGACTTGTGCCTCCATTTGCTGACAGAAAAACCTTGCCGCTGAGTCTCCACCTTTAATGAGGCATGGAGCGCCTAGAAGAATGCTGCCGGGCCAATCGGGGGCCGCTACGAACCGGACGTCACCAACTGGCACCTTTCACCATCACCCCCCCCACCCAAACCAGCACCCCTCCTTCCACCACTGCCGACCGCCTTTACATAATAAAATGACTGTTTCACTCAGCTGCTACACAAGCCACACACTCGCTCTGCACGGGTCTCAGTCCTCAGTCCCGCCCTTGATGCCTTCTCTAAGCCCCTCCCACTCGTGACTACCAACCCCTCAGGGCTCTGCCAACGCAACCAGAAGCAGGGCAGACAATAAAAAGGTACGGTATAGATATGTCAGACATTGATGCAGCCACTTTCCATAGGCACATAAGGTGGAACCAGGAAAGTTGCCCCCAGTGAAGTGTGTTTACAACTTGGTGCTTTACACAAACTGTGGTAAAGTATGAAAAGGCGACTTGATTGAGTGAAAATATTTAACGTGTTCCGACGGTAGGCAGAAATTTGTGAGGTCCTTTCATGATCCAGCTGTAAAGTACCACAAAGGAACCCCTCCCTGCTCCTTTACCCTCCCCCCAGTTCCTCAAGCAGTCCTCCCTCTTTCACTGTAAAAATAAACACATGCTTACTTTCATGGGCCCCTTAAATGTGGCTGGAGCGAGGGGTTCATTTGTTCATGTTACACTGGCCAATCAGCTGTGGACATGCACTGTGTAGGCATGTGTGTGTGCAGGCATCCAGGACTTGTGCGAGATCCGAGGGAGGTGTAGTAAAGAGTGACACTTTGAAGATACACTAGGAACCAAGGAAATGTCTTTGTCTTGAGCTGTATGCCCACACTGGAGAGGTTGTGTGTGTACACTCGCAGAGCGGAGACAGAGATGGCAGCTCTCTGCTGACATAATGCCAACTCTTAATTCCCTTCTCCCATCCCCCACACACACACCATGTTCTTTATGCACAGTGCGCCCTGTCGATCAGATGGCTGCTGCTAAAATGTCCTCCTTACAATAAACTAACCACACGTCTCAATAATAGGATGCTACAGAAGCACCCTGTATGCCTGTCAAGACCAAATTATTACAAATGGTATAATAATAACTATAGATGTATGAATAGCATTAGATTGATTATATTTAATCATTTTCTATACAAACTGCGCTATTTACTGTCCTATGTCACAAGCTTCACAAAGAATAATCAAGGAAATGACATGTGCCAACTGCCAACCCTAAATGTCCTGGGATCACCCCACCACACGAGAGTCAAGTCTGGGTTTCAGGCCAGAGTCAGTCTCAACACAGCACTAATGCTTATAGTTAAGTTGAAACCTAATTGATTAAGTAAACGTACAGGAAAATGTCAGTGTAATTGAGGTTTCACGTGGAGCAGTGCTATTAAAATGATCATGCAATATTACCTCGCCATAATTAAGAATTCTCATAATTACACACTGGACATAAAAATGGGAATAAAAATGTTATATTTTCAGCCTACAGGCACAAATATTTCTGCCAATTCCAAGTGGCAAAGTAGGGTGCTATAGAGTAAAGCACACCATTTCACTTTTAAGGTCAACAGATTTTCACCCATTTTCACCCATTCTTGCATACTATACAGATTTTTCCGTAATTGGATTAAATAAGTACAATAATGACATCTTTACAATGAAATACAGCATGCCTATATTGGCTGAGCTGAAGTTGGATGGATGACACAGATCTCAAAGGCTACTTTCAAAGGCTACGTCATATGACACGGGGGACTGTAATTGGCCCATGAGACCTGACTGTCAACAAGCCTTGTGTACGGTGAAGGAATAAAACGCATTATTTCAATTATTTTACATTGACTATTCTGAAAATCTTGTACTCCCCAGACTTAAAGAAAAGCTTGTGCAGCATAAACCGATGTTAATCACAATAAACGTTCACAAATGTTCCCGTGAGGAATTTGACTTTAAAATCTCCACTGACACCATCCACACACATGTTGCCCAAGGTGCCTCCCTCTAGGACACATTCAGCACATTCCTAACTTAGAGACGGGCCAGCCATTATGAGTCGATTTTTTCGTATACCATCAACATGACTGGAAATGTGTACACTCCAGTCAAAGGAGGTGGTGAAAATATACACAGAAGTGCACATGCAATAAATGTAAAAAGACATGCAATTCAATTTATCTCACTTGTCGTATATAACAATTTTGAAACAATCCTTTGTATGTACAACTAAATAGACAATATATGATATACTTCTAAAAGTGAGGAGGTAAACTTCTAGGTTCCAGGATAAAGTTATTTTTGGACATCATAAGACGCCTTACATTGCTTTCAGCTAACCCACTCCATACACAGTAGAAAGCTGCTACTGTAGCCGCAGCTGCCCTAGGACATACCAACAGAAGCAAGGCTACCAATCTGTGCCATTTGGCACTCCAAACACGACCAGCTTCATTCTACTTGTAGGTAATGTGGATACAGTGTCTACTGATGTTGTTTAAAGCATGTTAAAAATACCAATAGAAACATGAAACATCCCAGTTCTTCCACGGCCAGCACACTCCCTGGACCCGTCATCCTTTGGTTTGGGATGCTCTGGATTGCTGTATCCAGCAGCGTGTTTCAGTTCCTGCCAATATCATTGAAGAGGAGGGGCCAAACATTGCACTGGTCACACTCAACAAACTGAGCAATCCTGGTTCCCCAAAAAAAGCAAAAAACTGAACATCTTAATGAGTTTTCATACTAGACTCTGTATTTAAACCCTGGAATATTGTGAAAGCTTGGAGAGTTGTTGGGACCCGTGTCAGCTTTTCCTTACTGGGAAGACAAGAAAGTGTCAAAAATAAACATCCAACCTGAAGTCACAGCACCAGTGCCCAGGACTCGGGGAAATTGCATTATAATGGACTATGGCAAGTTTATCATCCACATGAAGCAATAAAACACTTTCTAAAATAGGTTTTCCAAGGACAACTTAATAAAGGAAAGAGCAGCGCGTGCAGCAGCACAAATGTTGGCAGAAAGTGCTTTCCCCGGCTCCACGGCCTGTTACGCTGTTATTATGCAAAGTATTGTTTCTCGTGTTTTGTGGGTGGTTTTAGAACCTTTTACACCTGACCCACATATAAGCAACGGGCTCTGAAAATATTTAGTGTTTTTCTGTCTTAATTCATGCTTCAGTTTACTCTTTGCTCCAGAAAACCTGTAGGGTTCAAGAAGGGTCAGTTGCGGTTAGGTTTCTGAATCTGAAAGGAACAGGTCATTTTGGACAAAAAGGGGGTTTGGTCTTGTGTGTATGCGTTTAGTATGGCATACAAAGTTATTACACTCTGCTAAGTAACAGGTCATATCTGCGGAGAGGCGAGATAAGACTGTAAGAAATACGTGTAGTATTTGATCAGTATTTCATCAAAACGTTGGAAAATCTCAATGCTGTACAATCCAAGACAAGCAGGTAGCAGACCCTTTCAGAGACGTTATGCAATGTACCTTTAAATCTTGAGTAAAGGTCGATAATTTGTTTGTGTCAACCAGCTGCCTGCACATAACACTCATTGGGCAAAACCAACATATCGGCTTTTGATTTATCTGGACTCTAAACAATCATCATCAGCCGCTATGAAATAAACCGTATCGGGCGAAAAAAGTTTTGCCACAACAACTCCAATAAACCATTTTACAAGTGAGAGTAGATTTACCGTAATTGTCAGAATATAAGCCGCTACTTTTGTAAAGTCCTTTACACCCTGCGTCCAAATCGCAATGTGGCCACTGCATGCATTTTTATTGTTGGAATGCCCCCTGGGTCGAAGGAAAGTATTTGGACACCAGCTATAGTTTATGTTTATGTGAAAGGAAGAAAACAAACACAAGGAAATGCACAGGATTCGGATGGAGTGGGGCTGTTT